TGGTTTTATCACCCCCAAAGGATGCGAGTTCAACTGCGACGCTGAGTGGCAGACAGAAGCTGACAGCGGGAGATTAACGCCCCCTAGTGGCCAGTCCTGGTATTCTCTTACGCCTTGAGAGTTGTAAAGGGGGATGTTGGTACTTTGGTAGATTTCCACTGAAGTGTTCTGTTAAGTAAAGGGGTTATTGTCCCCAGGTATCTGCCCTTATCACTACAGACAAGTAGCAGACATCTTGAAATGGCAGGGTTTTGATCAAATTCTTGGGTAGGAGCCTTTCCCCCTCTGATCTAGTCTGGATTTTTTTTTCTCTTATTATATTCCCCCTCTTTCTCTTTTACCACCCCCCCACCACCAATTTCATTGATAATTATGTGACCTATTTAATGTGTGTCTTCATCTTTAGAAAGTAAGCTTCAAGGGCTAGGGATTGTTTATCTTCCTTATTGCTGGATCCTGGGCCCCTAAAATTGGGTATTCATTAGTTAATTTGACAGACCGTGATGCAGTGCCTCTCACGTGCCAGGCATGGGGGTGGGGGCGGGGAGAGGAGCAGCAGTTTGCCAAACACTGACTCTCCTCTTGAATGGAACTTACCTTCTAGGGCGTGAGATGGAGAAGTACCTGGAGTTGCGAGTGGTGGTGAGTGAAGCAGGGTGGGGGGCATCTGTCCAGGAAGCAGTTTCTGATCTGTTGGCATTTGAGCAGGGACCTGAAGGAGGCGGTGGCTAGGGGTGGGGCTCCAGGGAGATTTGGGAAAGTCCAAGGCAAGGCCTGAAGGCAGCAAGGGGTGGAGCTGGGGATGGGGTTGGGACTTTGGAGGCCACCATAATGACTTCAGCTTTGATTTGTGGTGAAATGGGGCGCCGTTATAGGGTTTCCAACAGAGGGACAGGTGTTGTTTATGAAAAGACTCACTCTGGCTTCTGTACTGAAAAGAGCCTGAAGAGGCTCAGGAGAGGAAGCTGGGAGACCAGTGAGGGCCAACAGACAGGAGCAAGGCTGGGGGTGAGAGTGCTCAGACTCTGGGTAGATCCGTATCTGAAGACGGACCCAACAGAATTGTTCTGTTGACACAAGTAGGTAATTAATCAATATTTGTTGGGTGAATGTTGAATCACGAAACTCCCTACAGCCGGCCCCAGTTCCCCTGCTTTAGAACCACCATTTGCCTGTTGCCTCTGAGTCTGGAGCCATGGCCCAATCAGCTTCTTCCCACCTGCTGTGCCGGATGCCCAGACAACTCAGAATCCTCTGGTCTCCATCTTTGGGGAGTTCCTGACACCTCCAAACTCGATCCATTTCCCAGTTATGTAATTTCCCAGCACCCAGCCTTCCATGTGGGTAATGTCTGCTCCATCATTAGGTCACTGGCTGCCCGAGGACAGGTGCCCCATCTGTCCTGTTTACTGGCGTGTCCCCAGTCCCCGATAGGAAGCCAGGTGAACAGAATGTGCTCAGTAAACATTTGCTGAGCAGCAGCTGGATGAATCGCCTACTCTGTTCCTCTGGGCTTTTTGCCTCTATTTTCTGCCCAGTCTGAAGGATTCCACACTGAAGCTGGACTCCAGTCCCCTTTCCCTTCCCTCAGAACCCAGGTCCTTGTCCCCTTCATGCTCAAGCCCTGGCCTGGGCCTACTTGAGGCCAGAGAGGTCACGGAGGTAGCTGCCCTTGGACTCTGCAGACCCCACTTAAAACATGTCAGGTTTTCAGTTTCCCTCTCTACCCCGTATCTGAGACAAGACAGCCACCCAGTGGTAGTTTTTCTAAACTTGTGTTTATTTTATAGCAATTGTCATGATTAGAGAAGTAAATAACACATTTAAAAACCTTCTCAGGGCCAAAGGATGCCAGAGTATTTACAAACACAAGGCGGGGGACAGTGGCAATACATGAGGGTCTGGAACTGGGATTCCACCCAGGCCCTGAGCCAGGCTTGGATGCTGATACCAGCCACTAGGACTGTCCCACTGGCCACAGCATGGGCTTGGGGTGCATCAGTGGTCTTGGGGCTCTGCTCAGGGGGCCTGGTGGAAGACCCTCTAGCTAACTAGTGGCCCTACCTCCTGCCCTGGGGCTCCCCACACCCCACAGGCCAGCTCAGAGGGGCCTCTGGGAAGCACCGAAGGACAGGGGCAGTGTGGGGGGTCTGGGACAGAGGTCGGGGGTGATCCGGCCAGCCCAGGGTGGGACAGAAACACACGCGCTCGCGCGTGCGCGCGCGTG